AAAAAAAAAAAAAAAAAAAAAAAAAAAAGATAGGGGGACCACTCCAAAACATACTTCTCGAGATCATGAAACTCAAGCAGTCAAGCTAAGATTGAACCCCTGGGTAGTGTCTCCCAGGACTGAGAAAGAACAGGTACTAAGTGAACTTGGTTCACTTAGTTCATCTTCAACAGTTGTGATTGCACACTAATCTGGCTTTCTTTCAAGGGCTGCTTTAAGGCCCTAGGCCATAGAGAAAATGGAATGATGTGACATCTCAGACATATAACTGATATCACTTCACTTAAATCCTACAGGAATGAGGAGGGCTCTGTGCTGTTAACATTCAGTGTAGAATTCCATAAGGACGAAATACCTTCTGAGCAAAACATTCTTCTAAGGATGTCTCTTGGGCTGAGTATAGTGGTACCCATATATAATCCCGGCTAGTGGAGAGGCCTAGGCAGGAGGATCACAAATTCAAAACTAGCCTGGGCAGGTCTGGAGATTTATTTAGCTCAGTGGTTCCAGCACCTGCCTCACAAGTGTAAGGTCTCAAGTTTGATCCCTGGTACAAAAAAATAGCCTGGGCAACCCAACAGAGGAACCCTGTTCTTATCTCATATCCCCCACCCTCACCCAACCCTGACTGCAAAAGAACCGGGGCTGTAGATCCAGTGGTGAACCACTTTCCTGGCATACACAGGCCCTGGGTTCACTCCCCAGTACCACCAAAAAAACAGTTCCTGGTCTCAAAGAAGGTCATTGGCTTTTTTGTTTTGGTTTGACTTTCTGCAACAGGTTCTTGTTACTTGTTCAGGCCAGCCTTGAACTCTCTATATAATAATACATGCTGATCTCAAACTCAGGATCATCATGCCTCAGACTTTCCAGCATTCAGGAGGTTGAGTTGGACTAATAGCAAGGCTGACCTGAACTAGATAGCAACACCCTATCTACAAAACATAATAATAAGGGAGATGAGTGGGGCCACAGTTCAGTAAAGTGTTTGCCTAGCACGTACGAGATCTTGAGTTCAATCCCTAGGGCTTTAAAAAAGGAGGAGGAGGAGGAGGGAAGAAAGAACATGAAAGCTTTGCAAATAAAAAACTAATGTGAAAAAGATTTGGGCTGGAGATTTAGCTCAGTGGCACTGTGCTTGCCTCACAGGTGAAAGGTTCTGAGTTTGATCCCTGGTACCACAAAACAAAACAAAATAAAAAAACAATGAGAAATGAAAGCTAATATCATCTTAAAGCTAAAGCTAGAATCTTTGACAGGCCTAAGCAGTTAAGGGTTCCACTATAGATGCAAGAAAAAATGTCCCCATGCTTTCTGATTGTGGCATCCAAGATTAAATAGAGGAATACAGGGGGAAATCATGAAGAGCCACAGCCACCCACCCCCACATACCCCCATACTAGGATTGAGCCCAGGGCCTTCACACTGAGCTTGGTTCAGCCTTCTAGATTTCTGGGATTACAGCCATGTGCCACCATGCCCAACTATCTTTTGTTTTTTTGGTTGGTTATTTTTTGGGGGGTTGTTTGATTGGTTCTTTTTTTCAGGGTTTCTTTTTTGGTACCAGGGATTGAACTCAGGACCTTGCACTTGTGAGGCAGGCACGGCGCCACAGCTAAATCCCCAGCCCCTAACCCTCCTATAGCATTCTTGAACATGGGTGCCCATGACCACTCTCACTTAACATTCACATAGAGAAACCTCAGTGTGGGAATCCGTGGTGGTGCACACATGTAACTTCAATGCTATCTTCTAATTACTTTCAAAGTCATTTTTGAGCCTTTCTTTTTTAAAGACAGGATCTCACTGTGTAGTTCAGGCTAACCTTGAACTTTAGCCCAGGCTAGCCTCAAACTCACGGGGATCATCCTGCCTCAGCCTCCCCAGTACTGGAATTATGGGTTTGCCTCTCCTTGCCCAGTTTGAGCCATTTTAAATACCAGGAAATGAGCCAGCATGTTTGTAATTTAGCGCTTGGGAGGCTTACAAGAGGATCGCAAGCTTGAGACCAGCTTAGATTACTTTTAGAGACCCTATCTCAAAAAAAGAAAAGCCAGTAACCCACAGGGCTAAATTCATTCTCTAGGCCCATGAGCAAAGTAGAAAAAGAAAATATGCATCAGGGCCAGGGATTTAGCTCAGCAGTTCGGTGGCCTGCCTTGCAAACGCAAGGACCCGAGTTCAATCCCCGGTACCAAAAAAAAAAAAAAAGAAAAGAAAAGAAAATATGCATCCCAGTCCCTTTACTTGGGCCCTGCATGCAGAGTAAGTCAACATTCGTTGTACATTTGAGAGAGGATATTTATAGGAGGGACGATTTTGCCCTTTTTTTTTGTGGTTTTAAAACCAGTGGGTTTCCATTAACTGTCTGGTACGGTTTTGTTATGTTCTGGTTTTAAATCATCACACCCTCCCTGCCCTCCAAGTACTAGGGATTGAACCCAGGGTCCTGCACTGAGCTATATCCTCAGCCTTTTTTAAATTATTGAGACAGAGGGCTGGGGATTTAGCTCAGTGGTGGCATGCCTGCCTCGCAAGTACAAGGTCCTGAGTTTGATCCCCATACAAAAAAAAAAAAAAACAAAAAACAAAAAACTTTTGAGACAGGATCTTACTAAGTTGCTCTGACTGGGCTTGCACTTTGTAACATTCTGTCTCAGCCTCCCCCAGCTAGCCTGGGATTCTAGCTGTGTACCACCATGCCTGGCTAAATGTCCAACATATTTCTTTCTTTTTTTTTTTTTTTTTCTAGTACCAGGGATCAAACTCGGGTCCTTGCACTTGTGAGGCAGGTGCTGGAACCACTGAGCTAAATCCCCGGCCCTGTCCAACATATTTCTAAAGTAGCAAAGATAGTGTCTTTAAATTAACTAGGCTCTTGGAGATTTTTAAAGGTGGAATTATAATGGTTTCCCTTATTTTGTGCATTTTTCTTGTCACAGAAAACATCCCAGAAAAATGGACCCCAGAAGTAAAGCATTTTTGTCCCAATGTACCCATTATCCTGGTTGGGAACAAGAAGGATCTTCGGAACGATGAGCACACAAGACGAGAGTTAGCCAAGATGAAGCAGGTATGGCTTTTTTTTTTTTTTTTTTTTTTTTGAGACAGGCTTTCACTATGTAATCCAAGCTGACCTTGAACTCACTGCATAGCTCAGGCTGACAGCGAACTCAGAGCAATCAGTCCTTTTGCCTCAGCCTCCAGAGTGCTGGGATCAGAGGAATGCGCCACCACACCTGGCCTTCCTATAGTATTATTCTTTCTTTCTTTCCTTTTCCTTTTTTTTTGTACTGGGGATTGAACTCGGGTCCTTGTGCTTGCGAGGCAGGTGGTGGAACCACTGAGCTAAATCCCCAGCCCCTAACCCTCCTATAGCATTCTTGAACATGGGTGCCCATGACCACTCTCGCTTAACATTCACACAAAGAAACCTCAGTGTGGGAATCCATGGTGGTGCACACATGTAACTTCAATACCTGGAAAGCTGAGGCAAGAGGATCATTGAGTTTGAGACCAGCCCTGGGGTACATAGTGGGTTTAAGGTCAGTCTGAACTACATACCAAGATCTCCTCCCTTAGAAAAACAAGAAACAACCCATTCATGTGTGTCTGTTCAGGTACGTTTTTTTTTCTTTTGGGGAATTGAACTTTGGACTGTGCATATACATGCTAGGCAAGTGCTCTCCCACAGAGCTATATCCACAACCTGGAATGTCTTCTATAAGTGTGCCTTCAAGGAATACCAGCCTAGGAAGGAACCATCCTAGTTAGTGCCTCGGATGCAGGAGCTTCATTGGGCTTTTGATTTCCTTTTCCACTTTGGATATCCAAGGGAGGCCAAAGATAAATGAGTAACTACTTGGGCTGGGGATATGTAGCTCAGTAGTGCCAGTACCTGTCTCGCAAGCACAAGGTCCTGAGTTCAATCCCAGGTACCAAAAAATAAATAAATTACTATCTACTGAGTGATCAGAAAATCTGAAAGCAAAGTCCAGAAAGCTCTAATGCCTTTATCTGTGCCTTTAAGTGATGGTAGAGGTGTGGGCTCTTGACCTGTCAAAAGCTATGCCTGATAGCAGGGATGTAGCACTTGCCTAGCATGTGCAAGGCCCTGGGTCCCATCCTCAGCAGTACAAAAAGCAGAACAAACTGGGTTTGGTGCCACACACCTGTGATCCCAGCACACAGGCAGCTAAGGAAGAAAGATTGCTGTGAGTTTGAGGCCAGCCTGGGCTACATAGTAAGTTCCAGTCTAGCCTGAACTACATGGTGAGGCCCTTTCTCTCTTTTAAAAAAACAAAAACAAAAACCCCACTGTGCTTTCTCTGCCCAAATGTCAAAAGTAGGCCTTGGTTCCATCCCTTGGCATTCAATTCTCTGTAAAGCTAACTACAGAAACACCTAAAGGCTTGCTTTAGATTCCTTCTTAAATCTTCCAAGGCTGCTCTGACCTTTTCTTTCTCTCTTACTTCCCGGAAAATAGTGTGTTTACTTGGGGAGGGATGATTATTGAATAGCATGATCCTTTCTCTGAGTCTTTTAGTTGAATGTAAATATTCTACATATACGTTGCATATGTATGTAAAACTTAACTGAAAGCTCTCCATTCCCTTTGGCAGGAGCCAGTAAAACCTGAAGAAGGCAGAGATATGGCAAACAGGATTGGTGCCTTTGGGTACATGGAATGTTCAGCGAAGACCAAAGATGGAGTGAGGGAGGTTTTTGAAATGGCCACAAGAGCTGCTCTGCAAGCCAGGCGTGGGAAGAAAAAATCTGGGTGCCTTGTCTTGTGAAACCTTGCTGCAAGCACAGCCCTCATGCGGTTAATTTTGAAGTGCTGTTTATTAATCTTAGTGTATGATTACTGGCCTTTTTCATTTATCTATAATTTACCTAAGATTACAAATCAGAAGTCATCTTGCTACCAGTATTTAGAAGCCAGCAATGATTATTAATGATGTCCAACCCACCTGACCTGCCAGGATCCTTCTGACACTGCTCTAACAGCCCTCTGCACTCCACCTGACACACCAGGCGCTAATTCAAAGAATTTCTTAACTTCTTGCTTCTTTCTAGAAAGAGAAACAGTTGGTAACTTTTGTGAATTAGGCTGTAACTACTTTATAACTAACATGTCCTGCCTCTATAATCTGTCAGTTGCAGGGAACTCTGAAGAGTCCCTACTTCAGAGCCTTACTCCTCATGAAGTTCGTTGGCCTAGCTCTGGGGTGGGCATCCAGTTTTTTTTTAAAACATGCTCAGCCAGAAGCCCCAAGACTATGCAGCTGTGGCAGAGTTACAGTTCTGTGGTTTCATGTTAGTTACCTTACAGTTACCGTGTAATTAGTGCCACTTAATGTATGTTACCAAAAATAAATATATCTACCCGAGACTAGATGTAGTATTTTTTGTATAATTGGATTTCCTAATACTGATATTTGTCATCCCCACAGAGAATGTATTGGTTTTTTTTAAAAAAAAAAAAAAAAAAAAGGAAGTGTATTTGGAAATAAAGTCAGATGGAAAATTGATTTTTAAAATTTCCCATTTTGTCACTTTCTCTGATACAAGAAGGCTGTCCACCCCTTTTCGGCTCCATGTATCCCAATGCCCCTCTCCAGAACTGGGTTAGTAACTAAGAATTTGGTTTGAAAATGGCATAGCCTTTTTCAGCTGAACTGCAGGGCCTGGCTTTAATTCACAGTTGTCCTTCTCACCTACCTAGGTGCCCTCCCCGAGAAGCCATTGGTTCTCAGGGATAGCACTCGTTTTTTCTCTTCTCTCCAGCTGACTAAGCTTTTTTTCTGTACCAGTTAATTTTTCCAACTAATAGAATAAAGGCAGTTTTCTAAACTTCCTGTATCCTGCGTTTTTGTTTTTCTTGAGGGCAGAGGGCAGAGGGCAGGAGGGTGGAAAGACAGCCCTTCTGGCAGTACTCGCTCTGGAGCGGTTCCTTCAGGGTGCAAAGTACCACTATGTGCCACACATCATCCAGCATTAGTGTGGCTCCTCCCCCAAGAGCACAGAGGTGACTGTCCTGTGTCAGTGAAGTTGGGGGTGAGCCAGAAGCTCCCAGGGAGGAGAATTGAAGAGGACAGTCTAGACTGAATTTCATCAGCCATCAAGCTGTTCCACTTCAGGAAGCCAGAGTATTGTGGGAGTGCCCTGTTGCAGAGCACCTGTGTAAGGGAAGTGTGGCACCGGAGGCTTGGATGTGAGGCTTGAAAAAGAACTATCTCGGAGCCTGGAACCCCATATGTATGCTTCAACATTGCCTACCCTCCTCCAATTTGCCCTTTTTCTTTTGTTTTTGAGACAAGGTCTATGTAGCTCAGGTGGGCCTTTAACTTGCAGCTATCCTTTTGCTTCAGCCTCCCAAGTGCAGGGATTACAGGCATATGCCATTATGCCCAGCAGTTTGCCCCTAAAACCACAGAGCCAGGTGTGGTGCACAACTGTAATCGCAGCACTGGAAGGCCAGCCTGGACTAAAAAGCCAGGCTGTCTCAAAACAAAAAATGCTCTACTAGCAGAGAAACCTGCCTTGGCAACTGCTGTCAACAGAGCTGCCACAAGTAAAAACCCCATGCACCTGGCAATGGTGGGGCACTTGGGAGAATGACGTGGCACAGGATAGGGGCTGTTTGTGGGGAAGCTGGTTCTGGTTATATTTCCTCCAGTACAAGGAGCGGCCCCTCTCCTAGGCCCTACCCCAACACTCCAGTTAAGGGAGCTTTGAGAACAATCACAGTAACCAGGCACAGCCTCTGGGCCAGACCCAACATGCTCCAGCTGCCCACCCTGCAGGGTGGAGCTGCCTTCCGCTAGGCCACACTTCCCGCCCGTGCCTGCTGGAGGAGGGGCAGGCCTCCCGCTCAGGGGCGGTGGCCGGATGAGGCGGGACCCTCAGAGGGGAGGGGCTGAGCGCCCGGAAAAAGTGCTGGTGCCACGTGACTCGCCAGTTAAGAGGCAGGCGCCCAGGCTCTTCCTAGCTAGCCTGAGAACGAACCCTCTTAGAATTTTCGCTATGTGTGCTGCTAGGCTGGCAGAGGCCGCTCAGGCCACTGTGTACTCCTTCTCCGCACGCCCGCTGGCTGGCGAGGAGCCGCTCAGTCTCGGCTCACTGCGGGGCAAGGTGCTGCTCATCGAGAATGTGGCATCCCTCTGAGGCACCACGGTCCGGGACTTCACCCAGATGAACGAGCTGCAGGCGCGCCTCGGGCCCAGGGGCCTGGTAGTGCTCGGCTTCCCGTGCAACCAGTTTGGACACCAGGTGAGGCGGGCGGGCGGGGCAGGAGGGGCGGGATGGCGGCCTTGGCCAGGACCGAGGGCAAGCCACTGGCAGTGTCTCTTTTGCGCCCGGAACCTCAGGCCTGCCCTGAAAGGTGCAAGAGAGCACCATTCTGGTGACTAAAGGAAAAATTATATCAAGTGGTTAGAAGCTACCCCTCCTTGCGGTCCCGGAACCTAGCTGCCCTTCTTTCCATAGGAGAACGCAAAGAACGAAGAAATTTTGAATTTGCTCAAATACGTCCGGCCAGGTGGTGGGTTCGAGCCCAACTTCACTCTCTTCGAGAAGTGCGAGGTGAATGGGGCGAAGGCACATCCGCTCTTCACCTTCCTTCGAGAGGCCCTGCCAGCGCCTAGTGACGACCCCACTGCGCTCATGACCGACCCCAAGTTCATCATCTGGTCCCCAGTGTGCCGCAATGATGTGGCCTGGAATTTTGAGAAGTTCCTGGTAGGCCCCGACGGTGTACCCGTGCGCAGGTACAGTCGTCGCTTTCCTACCATCGACCTTGAGCCTGACATCGAAGCCCTGCTGTCCTAGGGGCACGGCCCTGCATATGTCTCTCCTCCCGTCCTGGCTTGGCAGTTGCCAGCTGCTCTCCTGGAGGTTTGTCCATGACGGTGTTTCCTCTCAACCTTCAGGAGGAACATCCGAGTTCCAGGAAACCCCAAGATGGGCACTGGCCCTGTCCACTCTGCCTCCTCTCTGCCCAGACCAGAATGATTACCCTCTAATAAAGTGCTGGGTATCATAGAACTGTTTGTGTGTTCTGTGGAAGTATTAGTCTGGGACACCTGGCCTTCAACCTCCTTGCTGCCCTAGGGGTAGGAGCCTAATCCCAAAGATGAACCTCTGCATCCTGTGGCCACCTAATCCCTATAGTAGCCCTCTTCTTTCTGAGAATAAGTTGTATGACCCTTACAAAATACGGACTCTACTCACAAGCTCTGGATTTCCTCTAGGTGTGTTTTACACAACTGGAAGCTCATCCAGTATTGTGAGTTTCCATTACCTTGCTGTCTTTCCATATTGCTACCCAGTGTTTTTATCTGCTCTGACAAAGTCCTTGCCAATTACTTCCACTCGTGTTGAGTGTAAACAGTGTACATTGTAACTGCTCTTTTTATCTGATACACAGCATTCCTGGTTTAGTCATATCTCAGTGGCCAGCTACTGTCTCTCGGGTGCCACCCCTCCATCTGTTGATCTTGCTGCCAGTAATCTCTTGTGACAGACCTAGAGCCGGATCTGTCATGCGCGGGGCATCTCCACTGCACCTGGGCACAGCTTTTACTTGAACAAAGCAAGACCAGACACATCTGAGTGATAATCAGTCTGGGCCAGAAGTTGTGAGGTCCCAGCAATTCTGCCCAAATTGTTGGCTCAAAAGCCTTCCTGTGTTTGAACCAACTTGTTTGAGACCTTTGGCTCTGGCCCTAAGCAAAAAGCTTTTGTTGTGACCCCTACTGTCTGCTCTTAGGTTTCCAAGAGTCCTCAGCACCTGCTCTGGCTCCTCCCTCCATTAGAACTTACCTCCCTCTGGCTACAAAGTTTCTCATCTCAGCTTTTTATTTTTATTTTTTTTCCTTTTTAGTACTGGGAATTTTACCCAGGGCCTTCCCACTGAGTTTTTACTTTTTATTTATTTTGGTTTTTTGAGGCAGGGTCTTGCTATGTAGTTCAGGCTGATCTTGAATGCACTATGTAGCTGAGGCTGGCTTCAAACCTGTAGCAATTCAGCCTCAGCCTTCCAAGGGCTGGGACTGTAGTCCTGTACCACCACACTTGGCCTCCCGTTTTTAATTTTTTATTTTGAGACAGGGCACTAAATCACTAAATTGCTTAGGCTTGCCTTGAACTTGCTCCTTCCTACCTCAACCCCTCACAATGCTGGGATTACAGGCATACAACATTATGTCTAGCATCCCCTCAGCTTTTGAGTACCCTTTGAGGTGACCTAGGCAAACTACTCCCCCTTAGGCCCCACCCTACCTGTGTTCCTGTCAGAACACCCTGGACTCTCAGTTGCACCTGTGAATAAGTAGTCTTTTCCCAAAGGTTAAGAGCCTAGGAGGTATGGTGGCTATGGTGGAGCTGAGTATACTAGGCCACCTGTGACCCTTATGTCTCACATTTCTCTCTTCCCCAAGAGCACTCTGCTCATCACCGACTTGCCACAATAGTCATTATTCAGTCCTGTGATGTGTGCTCTACTGGATTCCTCAGGAAGGCAAAGGAGCTATATGTAATAACTAAAAAGGCATGTTCTATGACATAGTACAAGGTCCTTGGAGAATAAATAGGGTCATGACTGTCTCCTGGAGAAAGTGACAGTAAACTGAAAAGAACCGAAATCAAGGAAATAGCTGATGCTGGTTGGAAAGGCAAGAAGTATAATATACGAGGGCCTGAGAAACAAAGGTGACATTATTTGGTGCAGGAGATTGAATAAGGCTATTGTGTGCTAAGCATGCACTCTACACTGAACTACACCCCAACCCAAGAAAGTGGCATTACTGAAAGAGCAGCACAAGGAGTAGGTTTTGTGGGACCACATCAGATGTGTTACACAAGCTAGGTGTGGTGATATGCTTCTGTAATCCCAGAACTCTGCAAGGGTGAGGCGAAGGATCTCAAGTTTGAGCCTTGCCTAGGCAACTTGGACTTAGCAAGACACTGTCTTAAAAGAAAAAAGAAAAAAAAAATTGGACTGGGTATATGGCTCAGTGAGGTCCTGGGTTTAGTCCTCAGTACTATTAAAAATTTTAAAAATATATATATATGTAAGCCAGGGATTTAATTTACAGTGCCTGCCTGGCAAGCAGGAGGTCCTGAGTTTGATCCCTGTCACCACCACCACCCAATATGTGTGTGTGTGTGTGTGTGTGTGTATGTGTGTGTATGTACATGAAACATTCAGATGAAGCTACCTGGGACAGGTGATAGCAAGAGGCTCAGAAGTATTTAGAGCCAGGCATGGTGGTACGTCCCTGTAATCCCAGAACGCAGGAGGCTGAGGCAGAGGATTACCATAAATTCAAGGATAGCCTGGACTATATATTGACTTCAAGGCCAGCCTGAACAAGGAGCCTAAAAACCAAAAAGAGAAGTACAATATTTAAAGGCAAAACTTTAGCTAGGGGGACTAATTACTGGAGAATATGAGGTCACCTGAGGAATGTGAGAAGAAATTGATCAATGGGGCTGACCCTAATGCCTGTAATTTTTTTTTTTTTTTTTTTTTTTTTTTTTTTTTTGGTATGGGGATCAAACTCCGGAGCTCGTGCTTGCAAGGTAGACAAGAGAACCACTGAGCTAAATCCCCAACCCTAATACCTATAAATTCACAAACCTGGGTCAGGGCAGAGAGGTGATAAACCAGGATGGATGGAATCAAAGAACTGAAAGAAAGGACATTTCATTAAAAAAAAAAAAAGTAGAGTGTCTTGGCACATGACTGTAATCCCCGCACTCCACAGGGTGCGCTAAGAGGATTGTGAGTTCAAATTCAGTTTGGGCAATTTAGTGAGACCCTGTGTCAGAAAATGAAAAGGACTGGAGATGTAACTCAGTGGTAGAGCACAAGCCTAGTATGTAAGAGGCTTTGGGTTCAGTCCCCAGCATTGGAAAAAAAACAGGGCCTTTTAGCTCAATGGTTCTGTCAAAAGCACAAGGTCCCAAGTTTGATCTCTGGTACCAAAAAAAATAAGGAAAAAACGGGCAGGGGATTTGGCTCAGTGGTTCCTCTGCCTGCCTCAGAAGTGCAAGGTCCCCGAGTTCAATCTCTGGTACCAAAAAAAAGCTCTGCTTAATCAGACCAAGTGCTAGGGGCCGGGGGACTTGGCTCAGAGGTTCTGCTGCTTGCCTCACCAGCCAAAGGCCCAAGTTGGATCCCTGGTACCAAAAACAAAAAACAAACAAAGAAAAAAACAAAACAGCAGGCCAAGTGTATGTGGACTGAGTGCTCCTTGACAAACAATGTCCCAGAGAAGAGCAGCTAGAAAAAGGCCAGATAGCCTGTGGAAGGTACCAGGTCTTGTTCTAGGAGCTGAATTGGTGTGTCTGGTGCTTGTGAAAATGTCTGCACTGGAGTGCACTTCCAGAGCACTGACTGGGTTGGAAGATTGGGACCCAAGACCCTCCTCCAGAGCCTTGCAGCTGCACTGAAAGCCAAGGCTTTGCAGTCTAGCTCTCCCCTTCCTGTGCAGGGTCAGAGCAAAAGCCCTGAACTGGACTTTCCAAAATGACTCCACCACTTCCCCCCAGGCTGTCTGCTGACTCACCCTTCCTTACCCACTTCTTTTCCTCACAGTTTGTGTCTTGGGCTGCCAGGGAAGGGAAATGCTGAGCTCCCAGCACAGCTGAACGTGGGTGGGGAATATTCTTCCTCAAAGTCGCCTGCCTCCCCTTACGAAAGGTCTTTCTCTACCCTCTTTTCTTTAGGAACACTGAAGACAGTTATGTATTTCCCAAGAAACTGGATATTACACACATACAATTTTACTATTCAACTTTATAACCGTCCCTGGCTCTGATCTGCACCCACCCTGCTTTCTTATGTATCATCAGTTTAAAAGGACATGTAAAGTTGGACATAGTGGTACAGACTATAATCCCAATTTTGGAAAGCTGAAGCAGAGCATCAAAGTTCAAGGCCAGACAGGGTATACAGATAGCTAGAACTGTCTCAAAACAAAAAATAACTATCAAAAGGACAAGTACAAGACTTAACATTCACGAGCCAGGGATTTAGCTCATGGCACCAGGCCTGCCTTGCAAGATCAAGGTCCAGAGTTTGATCCTTGGTACCACAAAAAAGAAAAAAAGACTTAACATTCAGCCTGCCTGAGGACCTGGCCCTACTAGAATTGACTGCAGGCACTGTTTGTTTTGGTAACAGCAGCATTTAGGTCACAGACCTTCTGATAATGGGAGGGGCCAACTGTTTGTTACTCAACTAGGTTCAAAAACTTCTAGCAGTTCTAGCAGAAATGCTATTTTTGTTTTTTAAAACATTGAATCTGACAGGTCAGATACTGCTTGCACAATCAGCTTTTGATCAAATGACTTCCTGTGTCTTCAGTGTAATTCCTCAAACTCCCCTCCCTCCCAGACAGGGTCCCGTTATGTAGTTTAGGCTGACCTAGGACTCATTATGTGGTCTGGGCTGGCCTTGACCTTGCTGTGATCCATCTTCCTCAGCCTTCTGAGTGCACCTCCTGTGCACCACCACACCTGGACCTAGAGTTTAAATTTGTGACGTGCCTGCCTCAGTCTCCCACACTGCTGAGATTACAGGCACACTCAGCCACCCTCCAGCTTTTCTTTTCCTTCGGTACTGGGAATCTAACTCAGGACATTGAGCTTTGGAGGCAGGTGCGGCACCACTGAGCTAAATCCCTGGGCCCATCCTGAAAGGGTTCCAGAGACGCTCAACAACTAGGCCACACACACACTGAGAGGTCCAACAGGAGACTTTATTCAGGAAGCAGGAGCAGAGAGGGAGAAGGGGCAGAAGAAGAGAGGAAGAGAAGAGAAGAGAAGAAGAGAACAAAGAAAGGAAGGTCCTTTTATTGGTTTTGGGCTGGGCTATTGCTTATTCATGAGGAGTGGGCTACTTTTAACCTATCACAGGGCAGGTTGTCTTTTATGGGTTCAGCCCTGCAGACACAGGTTTCA